TTTGAGCTCAAATGCCTTACGGCAAAGCGATTGCAATTTGTCGAGCCAAAACAAGCAAGCCTCAGCACCGTATGCCAAAGAGCAGTTTGTTTGGCTCAAACAAATCGCTTTTGGGCACGCCCCCTCTTTTGTCAACGCAAGAGAAATGCGATTTGTTGAGCTCAAACAACCAGAGCTTTTGGTTTGCCCGGAGGGATGGATAATTAGAAAGAAAGCTTTCCTTTGGGCAACGGCGGCGGGAGGAGTTCAACCCTTATATGTTTGCACTGCTACGAGATCAAAGCCATGCCCAGGCACCAGCCTGACTCACTATGGCCCTTTGTTCTGGGGGGAGGGGGGGGGACGAACTTTACAAGCTGCTTGTTTGCCGCGGGGGACTCAAGCAATTTGACCTGCGCAAACGCTTTTGGCAAATGCAATTGTTTGAAGGCAAAGCGATTGCCATTTGTTGAGCAAAAACAAATGGCCCCGGCACCGTATGCAAAAGAGCAATTTGTTTGGCTCAAACAAACCGTTTTTGGATACGGCCCCTTTGGCGCCGCCTTGAAGGCAAAAGCCATTGCGATTTGTTGAGCTGAAACAAAATGGCCCCGGCACCGTGCACAAGACAGCACTTTGTTTGGCTCAAACAAATCGCTTTTGGATACGGCCCCCTTCTTTTGTCAAGGCAAAGTAAATGCGATTTGTTGAGCTCAAACAAAAACCGTTTGTTTGGGTCCCTTGCTGGGTTGTACTAAACAGAGCAGGATGCGGGGTCGTTCGTTGTTTGGCTGACCCTGGACATAGTTTTCATTCACACACGCGCATTTGCGGTGTTGCTCTGGCAAGCTGAGCAGTTCTTGTTAATGATCGACCGAAGCCCGATGTTTGGCCCCTGCGGAAGCCCGCAGAAGCTAGACGTGTGCGCGGAAGCAAAAACCCACACCGCGGAAGCTTGTGGAAGCTGCGCGGTTTGCGGGCCCCTCTTGTGACCTTTTGTCCTTTCAATTTTCGTCATCTCACCTGGCTAGGGGATAACTTCTTGAAAAAACTATCAAGGTAAATGCTTTCCTGGCCTGGACTTTTATCAGCTAGGAAACATCAAAAGCCAACGCGTTTGGGAAACAGAGCGCCCGAGCTGTGGCAAAACGCCACCCACCCTAATTGGCCGTCCAGCCTAATCCAAATTCCAGGGCTTCGCCTACCTTGGCCCCACCTTCGTTGGTTTTAGAGTTCGGCGCAGCCCGTTTGGCCGAGGTGTGTGGCATACGGGCACTGAAAAGATTTTTGGTTTGCCTAGTTTTTTGGCAACCCCTAAAACGGTGGTTTTCTTGTTGGTTTCCCTTCGATTGCAGAATTCAAGGACAGGATAACCCACATGCCAAGCTTTAGTGGTAAGATGGGCTTGGCCAAGCGACGCAAAAGCAAACAACAGAACAGTTAGGCAAGGGACTGCTTTGAAGTGTGTGAGCGAGCATGGGGCCCACAAGACGGCTTAGCCAGCAGCCCAGCCCCCAATTGCAGAATAGACAGTCTCAGTGCACGAGAAGGTAACCCAAGCGAAAAGGGGAACTCCCGAACACAAAGTGGTCTTGAGCCAAAATGCCCAGAAGTCTCTCATGCCACTTGGCCCCATGACAACCGAGTATGAAAGCGTAAGCACTGTCAACTCTGGCATCGCCGCCCGTTGTGCGCAGGCGATTTGCGCATTGCTGTCTCCCGCCACGAATTTATTGCACAGCGAGCGTCACCGCCCAATGGCTCAACACGTACACTTATGACACCCTGCGAGCCCGCTGCGAAGTGCGTTCACGGCCTTTAACGCCCCTGTTTGGGACGATCGAGGCCATACGGGATTTTCACGGCTTCACGGCCGTACGGCCTCCGACCTTGATAATTGCGGCCAAACAGTTGTCAAGGTAGAGGTCGGTGCGGTAGCCGGAGTCGGACATGCTGTAGCTGGAGCCGTTGGGGTAGTTGGGGTAGTTGGGGTTGCCGGGCGCGCCTTCACCAGGATTCGCGGCAGTGGGCCAGCAGCCGATCCAGGCCGGGTAGGACAAGCAGAAATAGGCACCGTTGCGACACGAGGAGCAGGGGATGGAGCCGAAGGTTTTGCGGCCATCGAGATGCCGGACGATGTGCCAGTAGTGCTGAAGGTCGGTGCCACAAGTGTACTCCTGCTCGGTGATGCTGTCTGGCTCACTGGTGATCTGGGTGGCGTAGGACCCGCTGTGTGATTGGTGGCCTTCGACATAGGGCCTGCTGAGTTCGACATCGGACCCGTTGGGGCGTGGCATCTGCTGCCGACAAGTGCGAGCCAAGAGCAAGCTGACGGCGTCATGAGTTCTGGCCTGATGTGTCGGGTGGTCTGGTGGTTAGTCAAACAGTTTGTCTGACTGAAAGAGGTCCACGGAAACAGTCAGGGGTGCCGAAACGTCTGGGAGAAGTCCAAGCCTGTATTGAGAAGGTCAGCTGGAACAGTCAAGCGTCACGAGCGACAAGGTCCGGTAACTGTCTGTAGAAAATGTCTTTGCATGAGTCGGAACAGATGCCCACAACGGGGATCAAGACACTGACCGAAGCCCGGACGCAGTGCCTAAACACACTTGATATGAGACGGCGAAACTGCCATGGTGCACCCCCGAGCAACTGGAAAGTGAAAAGTGGAGAGTGGAGTTTCAGCTCCGAGCAAGTCAGGACATTGTTCGTCAAGCAAGCTTCCTCTTCAGGGACGCCATCACCTGCTTGACTACTACACGCCTGATCATGCCGGGAGGTGGCGTCCGACTCCAAACTCAAAAGGACAGCGGAAACCCCTTAGAAACAGGGGGGCCACACACACACAGACACACACTTGTTCAGTTTGCAGGTGCAGACACTGAACGTTGGCTTCCGGCAACATTCACATGATTGACGTAAATGGTTCAAGCTGAAATCGGAATTCGTCCCAATCCGCATGATAAAACACTGGGCAACACAAAAAGATAAACGAAGAAACCAAGAAGCAAAGAAACCAAAAAAACAAACAAACGAAGAAACCCAGAAACTCAGAAACCAAGAACCGCTGAAACAGAGAAGAAACCAACGAGACAGAAAAACCGACAGACAGACAGACAGACAGACAGACAGACAGACAGACAGACAGACAGGCAGGCAGGCAGGCAGGCAGGCAGGCAGGCAGGCAGGCAGGCAGGCAGGCAGAGGCAGGCAGGCAGGCAGGCAGGCAGAGGCAGGCAGAGGCAGGCAGAGGCAGGCAGAGGCAGGCAGGCAGGCGGGCGGGCAGGCAGGCAGGCGGGCGGGCAGGCAGGCAGGCAGGCAGGCAGACAAACGCAGGCAGGCAGGCAGGCAGGCAGAGGCAGGCAAGCAAGCAGGCAGGCAGGCAGGCAGGCAGGAAGCAGGCAGGCAGGCAGGCAGGCAGGCAGGCAGGCAGGCAGGCAGGCAGGCAGGCAGGCAGAGGCAGGCAGGCAGAGGCAGGCAGGCAGGCAGGCAGGCAGGCAGGCAGGCAGGCAGGCAGGCAGGCAGGCAGGCAGGCAGGCAGGCAGGCAGAGGCAGGCAGGCAGGCAGGCAGGCAGGCAGGCAAAGGCAGGCAGGCAGAGGCAGGCAGGCAGAGGCAGGCAGGCAGAGGCAGGCAGAGGCAGGCAAGCAGGCAGGCAGGCAGGCAGGCAGGCAGGCAGGCAGGCAGGCAGGCAGGCAGGCAGGCAGAGGCAGGCAGGCAGAGGCAGGCAGGCAGGCAAAGGCAGGCAGGCAGAGGCAGGCAGGCAGAGGCAGGCAGGCAGAGGCAGGCAGAGGCAGGCAAGCAGGCAGGCAGGCAGGCAGGCAGGCAGGCAGGCAGGCAGGCAGGCAGGCAGGCAGGCAGGCAGGCAGGCAGGCAGCAGGCAGGCAGGCAGGCAGGCAGGCAGGTAGGCAAAGGCAGGCAGGCAAAGGCAGGCAGTGGCAGGCAGGCGGGCGGCAAGCAAACAAACAAATAAACCAACGAGCAAGCAAACAAACAAACAACCAAACAGAACAAACTATCCAACGAACAAAGCGAGAGAACGAACACCAACTAACCAATACATCAACACACCAACACGCCGGCACACGCAAAATAGCATTATTGTATGTGCATATTTTGGGCAGCATATTATGCATACTTATCAAACAAAGTTTCACAAGAACTTCCGTACCGCTGGTAGGCGTGTGCGCTTCCTTTCAGAATTTGCGCGCTGAAAAACAACAACGAGAACTGGAAAATAGAAGCGTGCAGAAAACGTGGCCCCGTGTGTCAATTCGACCCTTCTGCATGCGAACAAACTACCTTGCTCGCGACGCCTGACGGAGGCTGTCCGGAGTCCGGCCCGAAGTCTTCGGAGCGTTGCGCAAGCGAAGTGAGCATCGCCAAAAACCACGATATGGCCATGGGGCAAAATCCAAATCGTACCCCCTGTGAACATCCGATTCAATCCAACCACTAAAATAGGTAACCTAAAATGGGTGGTGCACCGAAAACCCCCAAAATGGGATCTCATTGGTCTTGACACCCACAGCCATATTTCGATGATCGGGCCACCGAAAGTCGCGGGTTTTCCGTTGGACGATTCTGCAGTAGCGCGCGCTGGACGTGCCAATGGGCTGCTTCGCTCGCACAAGCCTCTGCACACTTTCGGGCGCTTTCGGTGGACGAAGAGAAAGAGAAAGAGCAAAAAAAAGAGAAAGAGGAAGACAAGGAGGAAAGAGAAAGAGAGATGGACAAAGAGAAAGAAAGACAAAGAGAGAAAGAGACCACGCGTTTCTCCCTCCTCTCTCTTTCTCTTTTCTGTCATATATTTTCCTCTGTTCCTCTCTTCCGCGCCCGGCTTCGCCGTCTTTACTGGAAGGCGATTTGCTTTCGCCTTGACTTCCTACATGCAATGCGACTAGCTTGCGAAACTCCCCAAAAACCACAGCTCGGAGCTACAAATATGCTTCGATCTACTTCACGTGTTCTGCACGTGTTCGCCTCTTCTGGGCGCAAATGACAATCGGCGGGCTAAGTGTCTGGCGTAAGCAGCCACCCTTCAGGCGTGCCCTCACCGTCATGGGGGCATTCAGCTTGACCAGAGGCTGCAATCGCTTCTTCACCTGGTCGGTACAAGTTAGGCTTATGCCTCCCAGAGGAATGCTACACGTTTACGGCGGTACAGGTTTCAACCGGTAAAAAAAGGGGCAACCCTTTCGCAAAGCTCAGTTGGGCAAAACAAGAAACATGCGAAAATGTACGGAAGGCAGGTTGGTGTTGAATGGAGTGGCACGCCTGAAAGTCAGAGGAAGGTGAACCAAACCACTTGCAACCCTCCAAATGGTTGTGCCTTCAAAAGGGGGTCTGACTCTGATACAGACCCATGTACGTCTTTTAGCCGCTTTCAGAAGCAACAAGATATAACAAGATAGGCCCAGCCTCGGCCAATTCGATGTCTGAATGCAGCGCTGCCTTGGCCAGGAGCGACAAAAGGCCGCCCCTCCCGACTCCCCGCGAGGGGGTGAGCAGGTTCTATGGCCAGGAACAAATGACTCAAGCTCAAGCCTAATCACAGCGGTGTGTTTCAGCTGTGCGCTGTTTCAAAAAGGTCATTGCAACCACATGTTGAACACAGCCAGAATGGTGGCAACTATGGCATTTGAACCTCCGGCAGTCAGCCGCGCGGCCAGACCGGAAACTCAACGCTTGCAGAAAGAACACAAAACGCCTGATTTTTTTCCGAAGGGCTGAAGACACTCACCTCCCCTAACTATCCACCTAGTGCATGTTTATCGAGACTTTGCCACTTTGTGCCTAAACATCGCAGCACAGCCACTGTTGCAGGCAAGCCTTTCTTGTGAAGAAACCACATGACCAAAGGCACCTTTCCGATTGAGCATGAACAAACGTTGGTCCAGCAAAGAGGGGGCGAAAGGCAGGCGCGAGCCGGGCGACAGCTCGGATGCTATGGGCAAGGCAAAGCGGTCCACCACGGATTTCCTGCGAGTCTTCTCCACCAGAGTCTTTGTAACTTTGATCCTGGCGATCGGATGAAATGTGCTGGGTACCAAGGGCTCCAAATTCGGTTAGGCTTCTTCTCGCGAAGCTTTGTAGAATTGTATACCTCCAACAACATCACCCGCGCAATGTGACCCCGTAGAATTGTATATGGCCTCCAACATCATATGGCCTCCAACAACATCACCCGCCCAATGTGACCCTGTAGAATTGTATAGGGCCTCCAACCGACTGGCTCTCAAACATCACCCGCTTCCAAACATCACCCGCTTCCAAACATCACCCCGAAGCTTTTGCGCTCAAGCCGAACTCCAAGGAAGTCAAAACTGACTTCATGTGAGCGCTTCAGTAACCTGATGGAACTTTGGCTGTGGAAAATAGCAGTGGTTGCTGCCAACGGTCAACAAGTTTCCTTGAAGTATTTCCCTCAGCTAGCACAAGCATAGCATATCTTCTGTTGAGAATGAACAGCATGAAGCATGAGAAAAACGATGTTCTGTTCCGTAGCAGTATGCAGTGCGAATTCGCTGCGTCAAAAGAAAGGCTGCTCCGCATGGTTGCTCTCATGCCACACAATGTTGGCTGCTGTGTAGAACCGTGACTAGTTTTGATATATGGCCACATGTCGCTTCCCCTTCGACTTCTCGTCAACAGCGGCCGAGCAAAGCCGCATCTTGCTACCATGATCCCCAACCCCAACATGGCTGGAGCACATCTTCTTTTTCTTGCCCATGACCCGAGCCTCAGTTTGCCAATATGTCCGCCACAAGCTGCCCTAGTCGACTCTGATGATGAGGACAGACTCGACCAAATATGGAGAGTGAACCCTTGGCAACAAGCGAGGCATAAGGTACTTGCTGAGCGGTAACAAGCTTCAATAAGCACTAATAAGCCTTTGTCCTCAAATCTGCAGAATCGGTTGAGCAAACTGGGTCTATTATTGAGGTAGTTCTGAGATTGCAGCTGGGACGTGCTTTGCGCTGAAACTGCAAACGCTTTCTTCGAATCGTTGTCGTGGCCCGGAAAAATTGACTGTCAAAGCTGGATGCCCAAGTAGATTGGGCTTCAGTACAGAGCGTTGGCCTGGTATCCGGCGCAGGCTGCAAAGAGCTCAACCGCATGTCACTAGCGCGTCATCACTTGGCACCTTAAGAGTGCCTCAATGACACCTCAATAACTCTGCATCAATAACTCTCAATAACGCTCAACCCCAACGGCATGCCTCAACAGTGCTTTCATAGAACCCAATACCCGGTTCCTTCGGTTGGGCTTGTGTCAGGCCGGCTGGAAATCAGGGTAGTGGGGCACAGAGTGTGAAACCCTCGCAGGCACCCAGGCACCCCGTTCCCCAAGTGTGATAGAGACCACAGTGTAAATCAACTCAAGAGTGGCAATCGGCTAGCCGACAGCCACATGGATGAAATCAAAAAGGATTTGCTTGAGTTGTTGATGATCTGGGTACTTGACACCCAGATCATCACAAGAAGGAAATACTTCCAAGAACCGCCGCACTACTTTGAAGGTGCAGAACATTCCGCAAAGGTCACGGGATGATGTTGATTCTGTCGAAATCCTGTCATGCGCCATGGGCCCGACTGGTGGCTATGGTGCCGTCAACTCGGGCCCCTCTCTTGGCCGAAATATGTCCCGAGCTGTTGATACAACTTGTGCAGGTTGTCTCCCACCAAACACGGGGCGTTTCTGCAAGCGTTCTCAACCGTTGGATGTGGGGCAGACTGATTCGCATTGTAGCTTGACACTTGAAAACTGAGCGGCCACGAACATCCGTAGTGATTCGCATCCAATCCACACAAAGGATGCTTTGAGCGGTCTGGCTTCCTGGATTGTTTCCTTCAAGCAAGTAGAGGAACGAAGCAAACTTCAGCAAGACATTGAATCCAACGAAGAAAAAAAATGGAGATAAAGCAACAAGATGAAAAGAGAGGAGGTGATCCGTTTTTGTGCATGGATCGGCTCTGGGAGCTGTTGCTGTTGACCCAAGCCCAGCTACGGGTCACTTGGCCGAAACCCGCATGCGCTGAGCGCGCTGCGGCCTTGTTGCGAACTGATTCGTACCAGCGAGCAATGGCCGACCTGAGCGTTCGCATTGCGTGTCCAATCTCAAGCCTCCCGCAAATCAAATGTGCAGAGCTGGCAGCTTCTCTGGACCCAAGAGACTCATCGGCGCCCGGGTCTCTTTTGAGCGCTGTCAGAAAGTTGGGAAGTTGGGTGAAGAGCTTGCTTATACACCTCGTTAAACGGTGATAACCGATCAGGTATGAGGTGTCTCCCAACAGGTGACCAGTTGACCGTTGAGCTCTCCAAACTCAGCTGATGGCTCCTGACATTGGAACGCGGTGAGTAAACCACCTGTCTGTTCGGAAGGTCAAGAAGACTGCGCCGTCCGCAGCTCCCATGAGACGCCGACGCACCAAGATAGAAGGCAAGGTTCAGTGGCATCATCAGGAAGGCCAAATAGCCTGGGCTGGCACTGGGTGGCGCCAACTAGCATGGCTTTCCTGCAAAGGAACAACACGAGGATCAACCAAGAATCAGCCCTTGGATCTATAGTATAGCACGAGTAACACTGTGCATGGACAAATTCCTGCCACAGTTGGTAGTCGGTCTATCCCAGTATCCACAGGAATTCATCCATCCCCACTGGTGCAGGATTTGGTCCACCCACCGCTACGACCCAATAAGGGTCAATGGGTGGCAAACTATCTTAGGCCCAACTCTGACTGATCTCACTTGACTGGCTTGTGCTGAGTCACATTTTGCATGTCTTTGCAGAGAGCCAGTGTGCTTAAAGATGCTCCAAAGTCTTCCCTTTTTATCCTGTCAGTTTTCTGACCCACTGAGGCTGCCGGCGATTGTCCTTCTGCATATTGGGAGTCTGGGCGCCGCTATGGCACTGCTTTAGGACACGACGGCATTCAACGGCATGCGACGGCATTCGACGGCCTTGCGGATTTTGGGCCCTGCCAATCTTTGGCGCTTTTGGCAGTGCTTGCTTGTTCAACTCGCGAGTTGGCAGCGGATCATGTCGATCGGCTCTGCCCACGGATGCCCGTTTTCAGCTTGCCAGGCCCTGCCCGCGTAGCGGGCGGCCTCGAAATCCGTGGCAGATGCCTGCAGAAGCTGCACGATGGACTGGGACCTCAAGGCCGACAAGAAGTCTGCAGACCGCCAGTGCGCTGCGGTGTGTTCGGATTCCATGATTTCATGACACACATGAGTCTGCCCGTTTTAAGTGACATATATATATATATATATATCATATGCGCCCGTTCGCACCGCTTTCCAGGATATGTGCCCGGGTTGCTTTTCGGTCGGCCGGCTAGGGGCGCGGCTTCTGCAACACGTCATCCAAGCCACGGCCCAAGATGAAGCGAACACAGGTCTCTGCCTCACAGAGCGTTTTTCATATGTGTGAGCAAAAACCGGCCCCTGTCTCTCCAGAGAGACAGAACCTGGATGTGTCGACAGCATGCGGAACATGAGTCTGCTTTGGCACAATGCGCAATTCTTTCAGACTCTCCGGCGGCCGCTCTCCCGCGGCCGCAGAAGTCGGCGGCAGAAGTCGGCGGCAGGTTGATTGTAGTTGATCCCTCTATCCATTGGGCAGATCCTTGGTGTTGCCCCTGCTCCACCTTAGGAATCACTAGTTCCCTGCTGGATTTAAACCTCTGCACCAAAGGGGACTGAGCGATTTCCATTGAATGAAGTGGAATCCTATCTTTGGTGGAGCGATCACTGCAGTCACATTTGGGTACGACTTTTAATCAGGGGCATTTTGGTGGACATCATTTCGGTGTCCACCAATCACTTCTGAGGTGGTTCTCTATTAAAACTCATGGCCATTTCGATCCACCTGACCTTCTGCGTCAGGGGGGGTGAATTCCAGGTGTCGGGGGGTCGGCTTGGCCGCAAGCCTGCTCCAGGGGCTTCCGCCATGAGGTCAGGAGTGGTCGGGGCCCAGAATTGAAAGGCCCTGGGATTCTCCGCGTTTTTCTGGGGAGTATCGAGCTACATGGCCGTGGGTCAAAAATAGGTACCCCAAATGGAGCCCATTTGTAAGTGGAAACATGGACCAAGACCTGCGGTCCGATTCCTGGTGGTTGAAATTGACCCAAAATGAGAAAATCTTGGCATCCATGGGATCCGGTCCGCCTTGGCCTTGTACTCCATGACGGTGGCCTGAAAATCCCCCTGCGCTGGGCGGGTCGCACGACCCCCAAAGGCCCCAAAGGCCCCAGTGACGCGTGACCCCGCAACATGAAGCTGGCAAGCAGTTAACGTGGGATGCAGCAATGAAATGACTGCCGAGGCCATTTGGCTTGCTTTCAAATGGGTGGGGAGAGGGAGAAATGAAGTAGGCAGTGGCTGTGACGCAAAACAATTCAAACAGGTATGTTGGATGCAGTATGCAAGCCCAAACGATCCAGCACACGCGTTGAGCACTGGATAGGGATCTGTTGGACTTCTCTGGTCCCATCACAGAACGCGCTTCTCAACCGGGGGAAATCCTGTGATCCCGTGGCTTTTACTCACAACGTACTTGCCTTGGTCTCGATGTGAGAAACAGTGTCGAACTCGCCTGGGCTGCGCAAGGTTTGGCTCGTGGCCACTAAGGAACTAAGGCTCGGTGCAGGTTTCAGTGAAATCTGGCTAAGAGTCGCTGATAGCCGGTTCAAGAAAGGGGGAGTTCCATGGGCTGCCGCGAGATTAATCGCCGAGACGCAATCCGTGGTGTTCTGGACGAAGTTCCGGAAGGTAGGGTTCCTGCTGATTGAGCTTGCCACTAGGAAAACCAAGTGCCAGGGACCTTCTATTCTTGACCACCTCTCATATGGCTGTGCGATGCTGTATGAGCCCGTAAAGAACTGCCATCGTGCCTCAGACGCATTTGCTCATCCTCCTTGGACCTTGGCACACAAACTCCAACCCCCCAATGGGTGACCGCTTTGGGAACCAAGCGACCACACTAGGAAGTTGGCCAAAAGCCAACCTTGTCCCCGCTGGGAGAGCCCAACATTTGATCATAGCCGTAGCAACCAGCTGTTGCAAAAACCTCGAATGATTTTCCTCGCTGGGGAGGGTCTGGACGTGTTGAAAAAGGTAAGTTTCCTGTTTGCGTGGATGGGGATGCTGGATGCACCCCCCTACGTTCTCGCGCATTGGCCCCGCAAACGCAGCTCTTTGATCCCAATCTCTCCTGTGCCGGGACCGCCATATCACTCGCGGCATTTCGAAAATTCAGACACAGCATAAAGAGGCTCCCGAATCATGGAAAAGGCCTCGGAGTTACCAAACCTCTGAGAGCTATCCAGTGTCCAGCATCCAGGGTCCTAACATAGTTGCATCAGCAGCATCTAAGATTGATGGTCATGTTGAAACGTTGTACCAGGGGCTTGAAACTGTAAATCGTTTACAAAGCCTGGAAGCACAAGCCACTGATTGGACTGCAACAATGGGCCAGCCAACTACAATGCAGCTCATGGCTTTTGCTGGCAGGCTGCGAAACGGTGAACATCATGATGAGCTTGATGTCGCCAAAGTCGGTGGCCCTTGGTGCAACCCGTTGGCACCCGTTGGCACCCGTGGGTGTCTGTTGGCTTCCGAGCTTCAAAAGCTGAGCCCTCGGCACGAAATCCTTGCAGCTTTCAAACTCGTAAGCGTATTCGATGGCCGCACCCACCTGGAAACAAGCTTTACAATGCAGCCTCGATGTTTGTCGAGGAACTGTTGCCTGTGGCTTGTTAGTTTGGATTTAATCTGATCGGATGCGGATGGGGATCCGCGAGCGAATGTCAGCACACCGATGATGCTCATGATGTTTGAACACCCTCGTGAACAATCCTTATTTACACCTTCCCGAGTCGACCATCTTTGGAAGGCGTGCAAGACCAAAGACGCCGAGCGAAGGCGCCTCCAGCAGGTCATCTGGAAAGAGGTGTGCGAACTGCGGCAGCTTGGCAAACTCCTCCACCTGCGCCATGGATGTCTGGAGGCGATATTCTTGCTAATAAGCCGTAGATCCGGGACCCCAAAACAACAAAGAGGTAGAGAGCTTTGCTCAGGGCACGCGATGTTTCTTTGAGCTTGGGGCCGCTCCAGGCGAAGACACTATTTCAACCGCCGGAATTCTGGACCACAAGCAGTGATCCTTCAGCCCGTGAGGTCGCCCGGGCGATACACTCAAAGTAGGCCTCCGGTTCTTGGGGGAGGCCCGCCACCAAGGATTTGGCACGATCACTTAGATCACACAACTATAGGCAACTCATAGCTCTCATGTTTTTGGTTCTGACAAGTTCAACGGGGAAGGGTCCATAACTTCTAGGCATCGCATTTCTCCTATCCATTCCCAAACCCTGGGAGGGATGGAACATGAAAACCACCCATCGAAATTCCGAACCAGTCGGCCCATCTGCTCTCTGAGAAGCAGACCTTCTTGCTTTTCGGCTTCTGGCACATTGCCTGCCAAGCAGAAAGCAGAGAAGGCCATCATGCCTTTCTGAGAGCGTTTGCAACACACCTGTCAAGGGCTCCATTGAGTGTACTCAAATGGGTCAGGCGATTGTTCGATCGAAAGCCCACCTCGTTGTCGCCAATCAAAACACAGTACCTCGCCAAACACACACACACACACACACACACACACACACACACACACACACACACACACACACACACACACACACGGGGCATACGCGCTCGCGCACGCTATTTGCTGCACGTGCCGTGGAGCCCGGGGTAGGGCGACCCATTCGCAAATCTGAATTCAGCCAGCTGACCGCACTTTCTCCATGCCCTTGCACGTCCCCCAGTTGAGACGTGAGGTGTTTGTCACGCGGCAGTAGCCGACATTGGCACAGCTTTACCACACATTTCGCGGCGATTCAGCTAGAATGGCACCCCAGTTTGACAACTCGATTGCTGAACGGGCCTCGGCCCAGAATCTCTCATTTGTCAGTGCCTTTCTCTTCTCAAGTAATCAAATTTTAGGGGGTATCTATCATAGGAAACAGCAATACCTATTCCGAAACATCCCTTGTCTTGGCTTCCGGCTTCTTGGTGTTGGGCTTGTTGGCCTGCACAAAAGGTGACGAACAAAGGCTTCAGCTGGTCCATTTCGTGGACATCACGACTTACCGCATGGAGAAAAACCTACTTTGCCTCGCTCATAGTGACTTACTGGAGTGAAGCAGCGAACATCGCAGATTGTATGGCCTGTGACGCGATCACACAATGCGCCGGCAGAAATAAGAGTTTGCACACTGGAGATGATTTTTGCACTGCATTGTTCACCCACATCCCACTCAAATCATGCAGCTACAGCTCCCCAAACACGTTTCATAATCATGCTGAAACAATCTCACCAACATGTGGCAAGCAGTTCACTTGTGCTTCACCATCATACGACATCTGGATCTTGAGCCTCACCTGACAACACCAACTGAGGAGGACAGCTCTGGTTCCTAAACATCGTTGCCTCAGAGACATGCATGTTTCCAAACACCCCACTAGTATCTGCCAGGTCAGCCCCGCCCACTGAAACGCGCACTCGAACGACTAGCCCCCATGGACGATCTTGCAACGGATGAAACTGTGGGGTCTTTCGTTGAAGACTGGCCGCGGTCGCGGGTAGAACTATGAATACAGTCTTTCTGATGGATGAGCTGCTCCTCAGCGTACATCTGCACAATCAGCTATTTAGTGATCAGCTCCCAAGGAAGCTCACACCCACACAAACGAATCTCATGGCTTTCTTGCTTTCCAAACTGACATCCGTGGAAAGCAAAATACGTGTGCACCAGTTCTGGATGTGTCTCACCAGTTCCTCGGGAACCCTGTATCAGCACGAGCTGAGTGGATAAGGGACCTATTGGCCTGGATAGGGCAAAAGAGCGTACACAGTTTGACAATGCAGGTTTGCATTATATATATATATACACACGTGTATGTATGTATGTAGTAATACGTAAATTATATGCATATGTATGCATGCTTGTATGTATGTCTGTCTGTCTGTCTGTCTGTCTGTCTGTCTGTCTGTCTGTCTGTCTGTCTGTCTGTCTGTCTCAGTCTGTCTGTCTGTCGGTCTGTCTGTACGTACGTACATACGTACGACCGTACGTACGTATTATTTTGTAATAATAGTAATAACAATGAAAATAATAATAGTAATAGCAATAGTAATAGCAATAATAATATATACGTATAGCTGTTTTGCTTGTGGGCTTCCCGGATCTGCTGACAGAACACAACAATTGCACCTGTGTGCAAAGCCCCTATGTTGAGGCTGATGAGTGAAAGACTACCCATCTAGTTCGGAACGCCACGGAAAGAACCGAATCGCGGACATACGGCGTAGTGGGCAAGGTGCCCTTAAACGACGATGAAGACAATTCGAAATGTTGAGGCGGTATGAAAAAGGCGGATGTCCATTCTACGCCCATATTTGACATATATGGCCAATGCTTGGAACCCTTTGAACTCATAAGTTGAAGCATCTCTTCCACATGCGCTGAACATCTACGTATGCTTCCTTGTGCTGACACAAACAGACACAGACAGACACAGACACACACAGACAGACACAGACAGACACAGAGAGACACAGACAGACACAGACAGACACAGACAGACACAGACAGGACACACTCACACTCACACTCACACTCACACACACACACACACATGGCCGTGGGTCAAAAGCCCGTACCCCCAGTCAACATCCGATTCAATCCCCACTAAAATAGGTCCTGAAACGGGTGGTGCACCTGCCCTAAAAGGTACCATTGGTTTTGACAGCCACAGCCACATGCACAACCCCCGGAAAAGCGCCTCTCGAAAGGTCTCGACGCAGCGCTGCATGGCCTGACACACCAAAACTTGCCTCTCCAAATGGTCCATTTGGTACTGAAAGAACAACTCCGGTGGTAAACCGATGGTGTCTGCCCGTGGTTTTTCCTCTTGGGGGGTTTGGGGCGGGGTCGGTGGGGGGTTTGGGGGCGGGTGGGGGGTTTGGGGGGGAGGTTGGGGGGGTTTGGGGGGTTTGGGGGGGAGGTTGGGGGGGTTTGGGGGGTTTGTGGGGTTTGGGGGGGAGGGGTGGTGTTCCACCATTTTCCACTTCTTTTATGACTTTATCACCTTCAAGTACAGGACATGTTATATTAGGATTATTGGTCTCTGGTATATCTTCATGTCTTACATCTCTTAACTTTTGGACAACAATGCTAAATCTGAGACCGTATTATCTTATATTAAAGACTATCCCATTATTTCCTTTCTCTTTCTTGATTACAGCTTTCATGATTTTATTAACATTACCTATCTTACCTGGTACACTTCTTTTAATGTTGGGTGATCTTCATTATAATACACTTTTCTTTGATCCAATATTTGGAGGATATCCTATATTCTATCAACATGTATTTTTGATTTTTGGACATCCAGAAGTTTACATCGTAATAATTCCTGCATTTGGGATCATTCCACAATGATTTCTGGGATTTTACAGTTAATAATCTTTGCTAAGCAATCAATGATCTTTGCTCTTGGAAGTCGTGTTTGGGGACATCATATGTATACTGTAGGTTTAGAAAGTGATACAAGAGCTTATTTTACAGGAGTTACAATCTTAATATATTTACCAACTGGTACAAAAATATTTAATTGGCTTTTTACATATCTCTCCAATCCATCTTTATTACACCTTAGAATTACGTCTGTCTTCTTCTTTCTTCTCTTTTTATTAATGTTTACTATAGGTGGGTCAACAGGAATAATTCTAGGAAATGCTGCAGTGGATCTAGGATTACATGATACATATTATGTTGTAGCACATGTTCATGTTGTTCTTTCTTTAGGAGCTATAATTGCTATCTTCTCTGGAATAATCTTCAATGGAGAAAATATTGTTGGTACTAAGAATTTATTACTTTCATCCTCATGTACACTCTCTCTTTATCATGGTAATTTAATATTTATTGCCATTATTCTTACCTTTTCCCCAATGCATTTCTTAGGATTTAATGTTAAATGCCAAGAAGAATCCCATCCTTTCCAGATTCTTTTCATTCCTGGAATTACCTGTCATCTATTGGATGAGGAATAACTGTCCTATCTTTTCCTTTTCTTTATGTTTATTTGCGTATCTTATATTGTTTGTGTCTTTCCTTTTTCACCTTTTATTATTCTGTTTCTTTTATTTGCATTGTTGTGTTCTTTTCCTGTCATCTTTCTTTTACTTTATGATCTTATTTTTATTATCGTTTTATTATGTGTTTATTATGTGGTGTCTTTCATGTCATTATTCTTTCTCTTTTGGTTTTATTATCATTCATTTTGGACTGGTAAGAAGGGAACCAGTCCATGAGATAGCTATTTACATTATAATTTCTTTTCCTTTTTGATTATCTTTTGCTTTACCGTTCATTTCCTTAATTATTTATTTATTTTATCGTTTTATTAATTTGGTGTTTGTTGTTTCTTCTTTCAAACAGGCTATATAAAGGGAGAATCATCTATTTTGATGCACATTCAACAAACGGAAGATAGACGCGGAAGCTTTGACACTCCTACAAGCAAGGAAAGCTTTGTGACTCTGAAATCTAGACTGTGATTCATACTTGGAGGATTTCAGAAAAATAGAGGTAACACGCACATGGGCTGTCTGAGAAAGCTTGCATGACTACATCTGCGCCTCCCTTCTGCAACAAAATATTGGACCTCCTTTATTAATAGTACTATCTTTGTGGAAATTGTTTCCCTAATTCAGAATCGTTTGACTGTTTCAGGGTCCTCTATTGTGGAAAGTGTTTTTTTCCGGAAACAACGCTGGGAAAATATGGGCAAAACACTTGGCAAACAAGTCGGGCAAAAAAACGGTCAAACAAATCCTGGCAAACATTGGGAAATCCTTTTCTTGAAGTGGTCCCCAAACCATCATATTTAAGATAACGTCTTTACAAAAAAGTGCGGGCAAACAGTCAAACAAAGGGGGGTGCCCACAAGAGCCCCAAATCCTCTTTAATGCGACTGTTTTGGGGTTCTCTTTAGTGTCCAGCTTGTTTCGGAGTTGCTGAAAAAACGATCCTTGGCAACACTAAAGTAGAATTGGCAATACTAAAGTAAGTACTGGGAATCTGAGTTGGCAATACTAAGGTAAGTACTGGGGATCTGAGAGTCAGCCTGGGCAATACTAAAGTAGAATTGGCAATACTAAAGTAAGTACTGCCCCTCCCAGACCCCCAGGACTTCACTAAAGAGAGTCCCGCTGACTGGTTCCACTGTTCCGGGGGGGGGAGGGTTCACATTCAAGAGAGTCCAACATGAATCGATACGCGTCCATGTTCCGCACATACGCTTCCGCATGCTCTCGTGAAGCGAAGCATCCGCTGACTCACAGTTGTGGGGGAAGCTGGCCAAGTGCTCTTGCAGCCCGTGTGGTCCAAGAGAAGACTTTGAAACATGTCGAACCTGCCGAAGCGCCCTGTCGATTCGAAACATTAGGCGGCTGAGAAAGTGAATCAACGCTTGACCCTGGCTCCGATGTGTCCCTCATGGTCAAACTCGTGGCATAGAAAACCAAGCCACATAATGCCTGCCTAAGCACCAAGGGTTGACCACTATCCCCGCAGGCTTATGATCTGATCTCGCGACAGAGGGGAATTTGCAAAAACAAGCAACGACAAAAAAATCAATCTGGAAAACTCCCAATGTGGGAAGACTCAGGAAAATCTCAGAACAAACTCAGAACAAACTCAGAAAAATATCAGCCTTGAACTCGATTCCCCACTTGAGTTTGAGGCTGAGTCTGGAGCTGAGTTTGTTCTGCTCTGAGTTGATTTTGTTGTTGCTGTTTTTTGTTTTTTTTTTTTGAGTGTGTTTGAGTTTGTGTTAAGAGTTTTGTTGAGCTTTGAGTTTTTGTCTGAGGGGTTGGTTGGGGGCGACATCTGCCTTTTTCCCAAGCAAAAAACACAAAACAACTCAGAAACAACTCAAGAAAAAAAAACTCGGGCAAAAGTCAGCTCCAGACTCACCTCAAACTCAAGTGCGGAGAGTTGTTTGTATGCTTCTTTGAGTCGTCCTGTGTTTGTTGCTTTTTTGTGTCTTCTTTTTGACTTATTTGGAGTCTGTGTTGTCAGCCGAGATTTTGGCTGAGTTTTTGTTTGAGCCTTTTCTGAGTATTTTTGTTCTGCTGAAACCCCTCCGATCTCGTCTGGTCACAAGCCTAGGCCGCAAGTACGCATTCTGCTCGGGTCTGTGGCAGGTGGTTCCCTACATAGGAAATCCCTCAATCAGTTATCTGCAATTTGTGAAACAAAAGTCTGAAAGAAGGAATCCCCAAAAAAAGAGATCCTTTTCCTGGTGAGCTCCTTTTGCCCCAAAAACCAGTGAGCTCGCCAGAAGTTCGGCGGAGCTCTCTCCGATTCACGAGGCCATCCAGACCCAACCCGCGCCCCTTCAGTCTCGCCTGATTGAGGTGGGTGAAGGACTCGTAGTGCTCCGCGGTCACTTGGCGCAAGGCCTAAAAACCCCAAAGAGTTCTTGAGACATTGCAAAAAAACATTTTATTATTATTATTATTATTATTATTATTATTATTATTATTATTATGATTATTAATTATGTAATTTCATGTTTTTTTCTTTGTATTTTATTTTTAGAAGAAAAAAAACAGAAGGACAAAATGCGATGGCTCCTGCTGACGTGGGCGCAGCAGCAATCTATTCCCACATGCTTCTGTCATGAGAAGATATGAGAGCCACAGGCACTACCTCATCGATTCATTCAAATGTTGATGTTTCTGCTGATATTCGAAGAATTAAAAACGTACGCAAATGAACTTTGCATATATCATATATAGATAGTTTATGCATCATGGGCTGATGGTGCCTAGTGGCCTGCAACCACTTTTTGACAATTCAGTTTGCTGATTCTCCTGTGCAATCAAAATGACATAGCTTCCGGCGCAATGCCTTCCACCATATTCTGCAGATGCGTCGAACTGTGTCTGCGAATGGTTCCGACTGACTTGTGAATATAAATACAATCGACTCCGCTTGAATGGGCTGATGGCCATTTGGACCTTGGACAACTGTCGCGGGGCACTCGCGAGTGCTAACAATACCATCTGCCATGTTCAGCTGATGGCTTCCGACATAAAATCAGCATTTACCTGCCTTGCAGCTGCATTCCCCTGTTGAATCCTGCTGCAGTGGGAAACGATTCACGTAGCGTTCAGCCGCTTCCATAATCTGCTGACGCTGGAAGACTCGAGAGGCAAGCTTGTAAAAACTGGCAAGGAGCGGAAGGACGCGGACAAGGTGTTGCAATTGCTAAGTGAAAACAACATCATTTAGTAACAATGGTGTGTGGCGTTATTTCAGGATCCGCGACTTGATTCGCCAGCCCGGCCTCGTCCTGAAGCGTGAGGTTATTTGTAAAGTCATGCAGCGTCTGGCTCTTCCTGGCACAAATCACGTGTGAAGCTCCCTTCGCAGAACCAGTCATCCAGTTGAGTCACAATCAAAACCCGGTATTAAAATGGTCTACCCAGAACCATGTAAAGACTTAAGAAGGCGGCCGCGACTATTTCTGGCTGGGGCTGCTTTTTACTAACCTTCATCTACCCGGGTTTTGATTGTGGCCCAGTTGGCAAAGATTAATCCACGACATCCGCAAACAACTCGTGAGCCTCATAGACGTGCGACTTTGAAGCAATGCAACTAATGTGAACCCGGTCAAAAGACTCGTGAGCCGCAGTGAGCCTTTGCAATTGAAGTTCACGGTCCCCAATAAATGTCGAGACGCTTCTGGTTTCCAGTTTGGAGGAAGCCTGAGTAATTCCCCATGCGTAAGAATTCAAAGCCAGCCTTTCGCAGTGACTTTGACCTGCATTGCATTGCGTGCGCCTCTCAATATGGCTTTGGTTGTCAAAACCAATGGGATCCCATTTTGGTTGGTAGGTGAATTCACCACCCATTTTAGAACCTATTTTAGTGGTTGGATTGGTTGATGTTCACTGGGGTTACGATTTGGATGTTGACCCACGGCATCCCGAAGCTCTTCCGCATGGCTCCAAATCTTGCGGCTCGAGCGCCCGAGCGAGCGCGAGCGGGCAGCTCGTGCGGCTCTTTTCCTTCCCGTGGACGGCTTTGGGGGCTGACTCCCCCTCGCAAAATGGATACAGGGCAAATAAGCTCATATGAGTGTCTTCAGCCACTGTCTTGCGCCCTGAAGTCTTTGGCGTAATCCCGAAAAACATGTTATGACTCTGAAAATCTTGCAACCAATGGCAGGACAAGCAATGAATGCCTCCCACTAGCTTGCCAATCGAACCCATCTGCCCCCAAGCTCCGCTGCTCGAGGTCGCTGCGTGCAGATTGGGATGCACAATGTGGGTCTTCATGTGAAGGCCGCTGACAGCACTCGGCATTCATGTTAGAAGTGACAAACTTCATCCGGTCGTTCGCAAGGCCGACACATTGAAGCACCACAACGAGCGAAGTGCTAAACACTATGATCTATTCTCTGGGCTTCGGCTATTCAGTATGTTGTCGCAAACGAAGCTGGGATGTTCGGGGCAAAATGAACGAAAAGTCAAGCACAAGGCTTGCTGGCTTCAAGAAAAGCTCTCCAGAAACTCTCCAGACTGAACACCGCCAGCCCCTGTCGCTGGGCCAAAGGGCACGGGGCAAGGTCCGCCTCATCTGGGCAGCTTCCGGCGGGAAGCTCGGATCTCGCAGGAAAACTCCGAGATGACTCTCTCAGGGCTGAAAGAGCCGGACCCACGTGGGCCCTTTTCAAAAACTCCATGAGACACTCGGACCCTGAAGACTCGAATCAAGCGACAACCCGATCACCATCTGCCAAGCAGAAACACAAAAGGAGGAGGTGGCGGCTTCAGTGGTCAATGCCTCCTTCGGCGCCAGTCGGGAACGAATCGGAAGAGAATGCCAGAACCAGGCACACCCAACTCCGAACTACCGAGGTGATACGCACAAACTCAGCACTCTCCCAGCTCAGTGACAAACTCACCCCCTGACCACCCTGACCCTCCACATCCAGCGGTCAAAACAGTCGAACTCCATAAGGAATTGCCAGAGATCCTAGTTGATCCAAGTGTACTGCCAGGAAGAACCTGGCAGAAGCCCGACGCAGGCCATCAGCTACACCACTCCCCCCGTGTCCAAAACACACTCCATCCCCAGTCCCCCCGGAAGACTGATTGAAATTCGCTGCGGATATTGCTTCAGAAATGGCAGAACAAACAGGATAGTTTTTGAAGTTGGTGGGTTTTTGGAACTTGTAATTATGCAACCAAAAACGAGCGTACAAGCTCCTATGCAACCAGCGTACATGCTGCAGGCTGGTGCTATGCAACCAAATCACTGCAACGCGAGAGGGTCTCCGAACCTCCGAACCTCTGAGCCAAGCAGGGCTTGCCTGACTCAGTCATGGGCACTCGTTTCGTCTGGCGCGATCGCAGTAGCAAAGCGTTGGCTGTTCACAGCATGTAAGAAGCAGGGTTATTACGGCATGAAGAGGAAAAAAAAAGTCACAGCTTGCAAGAGTTGAGCGTTTTTGAACCTCACAATGGTTCAACTGGAGATACACCCAGCATTTGCATACACCCAATGGCTTAGATCTGCCCCCGGGAAGCGGGCGTTTCCCGCTTCTCGTGGCTAGTCCAAGTGACAACGAGAAGAGCTGGCGCTAGTGCCTGGACTTGTGGCGTCCTTTTTTCCTGCGCGTGCATGCTATGCATTCCAGTGCTTCGGCTGTTATTTGCTGACTTGGAGCGCGTGTTTTGTTGACGTCTATGCAGTGCGGTGCTTTGCTGCCGCTCTCAAATATGTCTTCATTTCTTTTTCAATCTTTCTTCACCGGTGCCAGGCTTCATGTTGAATATTCCACGTGGCAAATGAATTGGCACAAGGATCCCTATGAAACCACGCCTGACCGCCTGACTCTCGCAATATGAAAACGCGACTTCAGAATGATGGCACCTTCGAAATTGCAAGCTGATCGAAGCCCATCTCGACCTCTTCGTTTCAACCTTCGCAATCCCTCTGGTTCTCAACTTGCCAGCCAGACGCCGCCGGCCTCGACCCGAGCTGGGAGCGCGGAGCGTGCTCTGCGGGAACAGGATCGAAGTCGAGAAGTCGAGAAGTCGAGCGCCCGCTCACGGCATAAGTGCAAAGAAAAATAAGAACATGCGTCATGGAGCTCGCTTGGCATCCAAGAAGACCCTGAACGCTCTTTTTTCTTTAAAATTTATGGGATAGACAAGTACTTGCGACACCCCCCCCTCTGTAGCCAGTTGTTTGCGGTGCCTCTGAGGCAGAATAGGAATACGGAGATGCCATTTTCAGGCACCGTCCTGGCGTGACAATAGCTGCGTTCACTGCTGTTCCCAGGCCATCAATCTATCTTCCATCATACCTAGCTGAAGCATGTCCTGCGTGCCAACACTCTGAAAACGCAAAGCATTAAACACAAACAAACAAACAAACAAACAAACAAACAAACAAACAAACAAACAGACAGACAAACAGACAAACAGACAAACAGACAAACAGACAAACAGACAAACAGACAAACAGACAAACAAACAAACAAACAAACAAACAGACAGACAGACGGACGGACGGAGGGACAGACGGACAGACGGACAAAGAGACAAACAGACAAACAGACAAACAGACAAACAGACAAACAGACAAACAGACAGACAGACAAACAGACAAACAAACAAACAAACAGACAAACAAACAAACAAACAAACAGACAAACAGACATTCCGAAGTGAAAGAAGGAATTGCGCACCATCATACGTTGCGAATTTGGAATCTGAAATGAAGACACCGCGTGCACTGTTCTAAACAAGATGCCTGGCTGGAACAGCTGTCAAACGCGGCTGAGCCATTTGGCTCAAGAATAAAAAAACATTGCTGCAAGACCAAGGGTCAAAGTCCCAGTGGGTGCTATGGCTGCAAAGCCTTGGGGCAAGACTGCATGACAAATGTTCGAGCAAGAATGGCGCGGGACGAACACAACCATTTGAATGTCCGATTGCAGCCAAGGTGTTCTGAGCAGCATCCCATGCCATTCGACTCGTGCCATCTCCATGCGGAGCATGCCAGTGCGTGCAGCCATCCTCCCTGCGACTGCAAGAGAAACAGTTGCACCACCACGGAAACACTTTGGATGCTGTCTGTTGCAAAGTTGCGAAAGGTCAGGGTGGTGCAGTGGATGCTCATCCATGGCCGCCCCTGCAAATTTTGGAACCCAGAATCCGAGTTCCATGTTGATCTGCAGACAGGTCAATCTCAAGCAATCCCAAAGCCGGCACCTTTGCGTGGATTGCCACGAGATGTGCAGAAATTGCCCACCGAGCCAATCACAAGCCTCGCCTCGCAAAACTCTCAGGCCGGTCAACATGGAGTACTCGTCGACCAGTCGAAGCGGTGGCAGTGGCAGCAGTAGCAGCAATAGTCGCAGTCGTAGCAGCACTCAAGCTAGCATAACGAAGGGCAGCCGCTTGCCAGTCTGTGAAAAAGTGATCATAGTCAGTTGCTGCGGCGGTATATTCGTGGCGGAGGAAAGGAAGAAGCGGCGGCAGGGGCGGCGGCGGCCGCGGCGATGGTCGTAGCGGCGGCGGCGGTGGCAGCGGCGGCGGTAGTAGTAGTAGTAGTACTACTAGAAGTAGTAGTAGTCGTAGTAGTAGTAGTAGTTGTTGTTGTTGTTAATACTAGTAGTAGTAAGTAGCAATAAGTAGTAGTAAGTAGTAAGTAGTAGTAAACAGTAGTGAGTAGTAGTACGTAGTAATAGTAGTAGTAGTAGTAGTAGTAGTAGGAGTAGGAGTAGCAGCAGCAGCAGCAGTAGTAGTAGTAGCAGCGGTAGTCGTAGTTGTAGCCGTGGTAGTAGCAGCAGCAGTAAAGGCAGTAGCAACAGCCACGAAGCCGTTGTGATAGGAGAGGGAAGAAGAAGGAGCAGGAGTAGGAAAAGGAGTGGGAGTTGGAGTAGGAGTTCTAGTAGGAGGAGGACCAACAGTAGCAGTAGCAGCAGTTCATGTGGAAGCAGTAGTCAGAGAGTGAACGAGTAAGATCAACGTTGTTGTTGTTGTCGTCGTTGTTCTTGCGGCGCTTGTGATCGTTGCGGTTTTTGACCTTGCTATTTTGTTGGCGTTGTTGTCGTAACTGTTGGCGTTGGCTGATGTTGTCATTGTTTTTGCGCCGCCGGCGTTGTTGTAGTCGTGGTCGTGGTCGTGGCGCGGTCGTCGTTGTTGTCGTTGTTGTTGTTGTTCTTGTTGTAATGTTGTTCTTGTTGTTCTTGTTGACGTCACCGTCGCCGTCGCCGTCGCCGTCGCCCCTGCCGCTGCCGCTGCCGCTGCCCATGCCGCTGCCGCTGCCGCGGCCGCTGCTGCTGCTGCTTCTGCCGCTGCTGGTGTTGTTGTTGGCGGTG